GGAAGAGGGCGGCGGCCCAGAGAGGCCTCTATAACCAGGGTCTCAGATGAAGAAAAGCCAGAAAGACAGCCCGTGTGGCTGGCTCACAGTCAGGGGCAGGGGAGATGGGGCACTGCGGGGCTCTTTCCCCGCCCACTTCACCAATGGCCTAGGGTCCCTGCCCTCGGGCTGCGGTAGAAAACTTTATCCCAGGAAGCGTGTGCAGCTCAGCCCCGTGCTCCGGTAACGTCGAGATCGAGGTATCGGGTACCGAGAGCAAGTACCTTCCTTCTCCAAACTGCGTGGCTTACACAAGCCAGCACACCCCACCCAGCAGGCCCACGTGTGCCCTGGTTTGAAATGTGGATTTCTAGGGCTCGATGCTCTATTGACTGCAAGAACGTGTTTGGAAATAAAACCACTCGGTCTGTTCTATTTAGTCCATCTAATAGATAAACCGATAAACCTGGAAGGAGGGAGAGAAGAGAGCTGGTTTGTAGGCACTTTTGGTAGATGGAATACACTCCCAGTCAAATCTCAGAAGGTGAAGGACTGCCACCTTCGCCACAGTCAGGTAACACCTGAGAAGTCTCTGCCCTCTAGTGGCTGAAGGTCCAAACAACTATTCTGCACGAAATCGACAGTGTGGGCCTGGAATGCTGAACTGAGACCCTCCCAAACAGGTACTCTCTGTGGGCGGTGTTACCCGCTTGGCTTTAAGTCCTGGGGCTCTGTTCCCAATGAGCTAAGTGGTCTTAGGTCCCCAGAAGCCTCACGCACTTGGTAGCCTGTGCAGCAGAGGCCAAGGATAGCCCTAAGCTGGGGAAGCCACGGAGCCTGTGTGAGACCCAGTTTCCCTCCCACACTGACCAGCCCTGGCCCTGGGGCCTCCCTAGGAAGGAGCCCTATGCAGGTGACCATTAGGCAATGTGACATCATGTCCTGGCCATTTGGTCTTCTCCAGCTGCAGCCACACCTTTCCCATCCGCGTAAGTCACTGGTCACGTCCCATCCCCACCGAGCTCAGACGTCCTACCTCTGTGCTGTCCCTACATTCAGTACTGGCTCTGTCACTGCATAATTAAGTTGTGCGTCCATGTGACTGCTTCCACTGCTAGACCGTATCCTCCATGAGGGCAAGGACTGTGTCTCTCCTGTCCGTAATTGTATCGCTAGTGCACAGTGTGAGACCTGGAACACAATAGGTGTGCCAAAATATTTGTTAAATCACTGAATAAAAAGCAGGCAATAAAGAAGCCCTAAGTAAGGAAGCAGCAGCAGGATAAAAGAGAAGAAGGCATATTATCTATCTATCTAGATATATCTAGATAGATATATTTAGATGCTAGAATTAATAGGTTTCGATGACTGATTGACTGACTGATTAACCATAAGAATAAGAGTGAACAAGCTCTAGAATAAGTCCCAGGTTTCTGCATTTATAAGTAGATAGGAGATGGTGCTGTTTGCTGAGAGAGAGAATACAGGAGGACGTGTAAGTGGCTTAAACAACAGCAATTTATTTCTGACAGGTCTGAAGGCTAAAGGTTCAGGATTGAGGTATCAACAGGTGTGGTTTCTTCCGAGGCCTCTCCCCTTGGCTTGCAGGTGGCTGCCTTCTCGCTGTGTCCTCACATGGTGCTTTCTCGCTGCACCCACATTCCTGCCATCTGTGTGTGTGTGTGTCCAAATTTCCTCTCTTTATCAGGATACCAGTCACAGTAGATTAGGGCCCAACTTAATGTCCTCATTTTAATGTAATCGCCTTTTTAAAGGCCGTGTCCAAACACAGTCACATTCTGAGGTAGTGGGGGGTAGAACTCCAACATACAAATTTTGCAGGAGGCACAATTTGGCTCATAACAGGTCTACATTTCTCCTCATTCTCCTTCCACACCACTGCCCCAAAGGCAGCCAGCCCATGCCTCTCCGCCACAGCACTGACGTCAGATGGGCTCCTGCCTCAGACTTCCAAGATTCAGACTTCAACGTGTTAAGAAAACAAATGAAAGAACCGGTTATTCTGCCCAGAATGGGGATAAGAAAATGGCAGGAAGACATTTTCTTACTCCCCCAAAGCACGAGTAACAATTCACTGGTTCCAAAAGAGAGGAACACTCTAAGCCAAGGGACCTACAAAAGCAAAGATACCACGACATTAAATTTCCTAAGGAGTCTGGGGACAGTTAGATGTGGCTGTTGTGACAGGGGCATGTGGGGGATGGTAAGAGCTGAAGCAAGAGGGGGTGGCTGAGATCATTGTAAAGAGCTTTCCTTTTGGCATAAAATCAGCCAGTGTTTTATCTAGACATGTAAACAGGGAATTAGAGGCTGCTCCAATCTCTTAGGCAGAAAACAATATAATTATTGTGAAAGGTTGGAACATTGGAGGATGACATTAAGACAAAGAGCTATTAGGTTGGGGGTACGGACCAGAGTGGTGAATAAAAGGTAAAGAGAGAAAAAAAAAAGATAAAAGCAGAGAAAAAGAGAGGAGAAAGGGAGAGAAGGCAAAAAGAGCAGATACCTAGTTCAGAGCTAAATGATGAATGCTAGTATCCCAGATGGGATTCTGTTGAGTTGGGCTCCACCTCCTCAAGAAGACAGTCTCCTCCTCACAGACTTTCGGGAGTTGGCCAACACCTCTGGACAGTGGAGGATCCTGGGACCAGAAGGGGATCTAGAAATCAGGGGGTCAGTTCCCATGGAGGTACAGCAGAACAAGGACTGCCAGTGAGGAAGGTGGCTAAGAGGTGCAAGAGGGCTTGGCCGATGGATGAGATGGGCCTCTGTGGACTGATTGGCTGGATGTTGATAAGTCCAGTTCTGATTGGTCATTTAGGGAACTCAGTCAACTCGAGGTAGGGCTTATATAAATCAAGGACCAGTTACCTGGATCCAAGCACACTGAGGACATCTTGGTGGCTGTCAAAAAGCTTAAGTTTCCTCTTTCAGGTACCACGGCAGGAAAGCAGAAGGGTCAGAGGAGAAAGGAAGATCACTATGCTTGTTCACTCTCATCACTAGTGAGCTTACAGCAATGGTCAAGGCCAGAGGTTAAATGTAAGGAAGGCCAAAGAACCAGGTAAGGGGTTTTATCCCAACTGCAGGCTAAGCAAGCCACCTTCTCCTTTCCATTGAGTGAGGCTTGCTCTGAAGGAAGATGGCCAGAGTTGGCTATGGTATGTCAGTCAAAGTTGTGACTGTCTCCAAAATGAGTTTAATTTTTCTTTATGAAAACTCTAGTCACAAGAACACCAGGGTTTCAGCCCTGGCTGGGTTCAGTTGATTGGAGTTTTTGTCCCATACACCAAAAAGTCGCGGGTTCGATTCCTGATCAGGGCACATACCTGGGCTGTAGTTTCAATCCCCAGTACGGGAGGCAACAGATGGTTGTTTCTCTCTTGTGTGAATGTTTCTCTCTTCCTACCTCTCTCTCTAAAGTCAATAAAAATATATCCTTGTGTAAGGATTTAAAAAAGAAGAACAACAGGGTTTCCACTCTGGGTTGGCCCCAGGGTTCATCAACCCTAATGGGTCAGGGAAGCCACACTGCAGTGGTGCGTGGTAGGTCTGTGGGGCTTTGTTGCCTCTGGGCTCAGGAGAGTGAAGCTCTCTGAGACCGTGCGGGGACAGTGGGAGCCGAGAGACCAGGCTTGCCCCTATGCAGCTGGTGACTAATGAGAGATTGGTGTGGGCATGAATCACCGGCAGGCAGAGGGAGAGGCCGTCAAATTGGACAAAAGGGCTCTGAGGCCAAGCTCCCTGGAGCACGCCTCATACACAACCGGGCACAGCCGCCATGGAAGCAACCCGAAGCCTTCCACTGTGTTCTCACCCACTCTCCGATAATTCTTTAGATTTGATTAATATTGACTATATCTTTCATTGTAAAAATAGTGTAAGCATACTATAGAAAACCAAGAAAAAGTTTATCCACAACACTGCCCCCCAAAGTTAATTGTGATACAATTGCAGATTTCCTCCACTGGACCTTACCCACCTGAGTCACAGTCTCAAACTTAGGACTTGAGGCACTTGTGGAAGAAAATCAACCAGAGCACCTTTAACATAAGACTTTATTCAAAAATGCCTGGCATGAGGAGTTTCCAAAAGAGCATTCTCACCTGGGCAAGGAGGCTGAGTCGAGCAGTATTTTTTACAAGGATTTAAGAGGAAGGACCAGATGAAGTTCAGCTAATTTGGGGAATGGTTCAAAGATGGCTCTCAGAAGCAGGAGGAATTGTTCCTCAGGATGAGGAGCCCTTGTTTGTGATTTTACCACGGGCATTGGGAGGGGCAGTTAGGAGCTAGGTTCACGTGGGAGAGAGGCAGAGAGGAACGTCTAACGGGGGCAAGGACAGGCAAGGCCCACACTGGGAATTCTGACTTTTAGTGTCTCTTTCAGGGATCAAACGCACACCCAGGTCTTCTGACTCCTGGCCAGAGACCTTGCCCCAGCTCACAGAGGCCCCAACCTTCCCTACTCTGGTGGGTGATTGAGAAAGAACCGTGGGTATCCTGGACCCACTCATGGAAGGAAAGGTTCAGATATGTAAAGGCTTGGACAGCGTAGGCAAAAATGGGAAGATTTTGTCCTAAGAACGAGACTTATCTTCAATAGCACTGGGGCCTGCAGGAATGGAGTTCTATGTGTTGCTGGCCTGCAGCTACAGGTGAAGGGAATTCTGCAACTAGGGACTGACACAGTCAAGGGCTCCCTTATTTGCTGATGATTCAGCTCTGAAGCATCACTGTACTAATCATTGTTGCTGTGCTTCTTAATAAAACTCCCCTGTGCTCGATCCTCAGAATTTTTAGCTATCAGCCTGGGTGGCCAGTCCTGCAGCCCATTGTACCTCTGTCCCCTAGGGGCAATCGGCCCTGTGCATATCAGCTTTTTTTCCTTGCTGTGCCTTTAAGAGCTGCAGGAATGCAAAGAGAGTCTGGAGGAGGGGTGGGGTCTCCCAACAGGACTTCTGGGAAAGGATCCTGGGAATTTTTTACCAGAAACAAAGCTGAGTTCCAACTCTGAGAAGTTGGGAGTGGTGTGTGTTAGGTCTGGGCTGGGATTGGACTGTAGAATCCCCTTGGGAAGGAAAGCAAAAGTAAAAGAGTTTTGGGAGAGGGGAGAAGCCCTTCCTGCACTCACCCCGATGCACATTCACCTAGGCCTAGAAGCAGGGTGCGGCCACTAGGCTGGGGAGGGTCTGTGCGTGTCAAGGGTGATGTCGACAGATGCTGGACCCAGGAAACTCTCTACCCCAAGTCGGCCTGCAGGGCCTCCAGGGACCAGCTTGCCAACAGCTGGACTTGATCACCAGCTTTCAAAGTGAGGTCACACATCTGGTGGAATAACAAGCAAACTTTGCTTTCCGGCTGTTTTTAGAGGATTTTCACAGCAGCGGCTAGAAACCGGGAAACCACCACCTAGACCCTTGACTCTTCTCAGAGAGGCACAGCATAGGGGAGTCCACCGTGGGTGGTTTGCAGGACGATGCTGGCCCTTCAGCGAGCTTCTGCTTTCCTGGTTCTGCTCCTCTCAGCTTTTCTGCCTCCGCCACAGTGCGCTCAGGACCCAGGCATGGTGCACTACATCTACCAGCGCTTTCGAGTCATGGAGGTAGGTGGCATCTGTGCACCTGATATGGGAACACGCCTCCCGGAAGTCACCTTATCTTACCCCTGCTTCCCTGTCTTCTTGGGTTTGTTTTTCCAGGTAGTAAATGATAAATACATTGGTAGAGTTACACTTGAAACTTTTTATGCTCTAGTGGTTTACAGCACCAGAGTCTGGACCGTACCATCCCCGACCTGGAGCAGGGCTGCCCCCTGTGCGGTTTTTCTCTGTAAAGTGGGGATGATCATACAATGTACCTTGTAAAGCTATTCTGAAGATTTAATCAATTATTCTATTAGAACATGGCCTGGCACACTGGGAACTGTCCAAAATGTTATTATTCAATAGTTCTACTTTTAAAATATGAAAATTGAAATTGGGGGTCATTTTTTCTTCATTTTCACAATATTGGGATAATAGCTAATTTTAGCTTTTCCTCGTCTTCTCAAGATAAACCATTAGGTCATGGTAACAAGTCATAACACTGTTGTGCCAAGAAGCTGTCATAGCTTCCTTTGCCAAACTGGATTCAGATTTAGAAATGAGCCGACTTCAGCAATGCTGGGCAGAGGGAAAGTATCTGGGCCCCTCTTCTGCATATGTTGCAGCCACCACATCATGAACTTTGCAAAACCCAACATTTTTGCAGCGTGACGAGGCTCCCAGAGACAAATGTAACCCTCTGACCTACCTAGTCTTTGACACAACCCTGGTCTTGACATTGACTGTTTAATACTTAATTGCCTTGCTTTTGCACAAGTTAAATTTTGGTAAATTATCTTTTTTTCAAAGACACTCTTATCTCCAATATTTATTTGCAACATTTTCCTGAAAAATCTTAAAGTCCAAATTATTTGCTCATCTAGTTACAGTCAGGATTAAGTAATTCCACAGAGCAGGCCCAACACATTTCCCAATGTTGTCAGGACAACAGGCTGGAGTCCGGAGGCGGCCGATGGAATGTCCCCGGGCCACTGGCCTGGTGCTGCCTCTTCGCTTGCTCTCTCCTCAGACACCTCCTCCCCACTCTCACCTCCTTGAACGTGCCAGACTTACACTCAACCACTACACGTGGCACCCACTTGCCCAACATTTTAGGATAAATATTTACATATTTATGGCTAAATGCACAAAAAACATTAAAAATCGATTCCTTAAAGTATCAATAGTACGTTGAATTAAGAAAGTAAGGGTGCTTTTTATTTCCCCCTTTCTGATTATTTGTATTTTAAAAATCTTTTTCCTATGGACAATAGCTATTTATGTTACCTGGGTAACTTCAATACCTAGTAGTAATTTGGGAATTTATTTTTTGACTGAAGCAAGGACTGCAAAAATGTACACAAGCAACGAGGGCATACATTCAAGACTTCCGCGAGTTCTCGAAAAACATATCCGTTATGCTGGGACAATGTCAGACCCACACGACCGAGTATAAGAGTGCAGTGGACAACCTGGCACTGAGGGTCGAACGTGCCCAGCGGGAGATTGACTACCTAGAGTACCTGCGAGAAGCCGACTTGTGCGTAGAAGCAGAGGACAAGATGCTGGCGGAAAAGCTAGTCCAAGAAGCCGAAGAAGAGAAAAAGATCCAGACTCTGCTGAATGCAAGTAAGAGAGCTGTGTCTTTTACACTGTCCTAGGGACTGTCACTCGGGGAGCAGACGCTGTGGGGGTGCTGGCTGAGTGTGACAGTAGTAGCTGGATGTGCACCCTTGTGTGCTGTGCTGGGGGTGGGGCAGCCTTAGCAGGGAGCAGGTGTCCAAAGGAAAACGCATTCTTAGAAAGCAGCTTTTTCTTTCACATGGCATTCCTAAAGGCCCCATGGAAGGTCAGGGCTACGGTGTCAGAGGTCAGCCCAGGTAGGGCATCTCCTGATAGACCTTGGTTTGGCAGAGGCGTATGGTTCCAGATCTTTCCAGGGGGAGGGACAGGTGGGTGGGTTCTCCTAGAGCTCTGGGAGTAGGGAGATGTGCCGATGTGCCGGGCATCCCTCGGGGTCGGGGTCTGCGGTGAGTGATCATCGCATGTGCTGTTGGGACGGCGACATCTAGGGGATTCCTCTCCTATCTCGTGATCCATCAGAATGACTTCCAGGCCATTAAGAATAATGTTTAGGTGCTCAAATTAAAATAACAGGTAGCAAGCAACAAAAACATAAAAGAGAAGGAAAATGTCATATATATATGAGTGTATTTTATTAAAACCATGAGAGACACAGTTCCCCCAATAGCCTGTATTCTGAGATGGTTTTATTGCAAATGGGGAAACTTTATTTATAGGCCAAGTGTGTGTGCTCCAAATGTGAGAAACCCCATTGGGGAAATCAGATGGAAGCTGACTTCATTGTGCTGAGGGAGTCACGCACCTTCCCAGCGTAACCTGCAGAAGACCTCCACGGTTCTTCCCAAATGAGGGGACTCGTAATGTGCGTTTTGAACAAAGAAATCAGGGAAGAAAGTGCAGAGGGCACATGTCAAAGGTGTGAGGGAATATCCACTTTCCCACGTAGATCTGCAGATGTGGCCAAGTGGCTCAGTAAAGGGCAAGTGCATGGGGAGGTAAAATTGAAGAGTTCAGCAGGATCCAGATAATGAAAGACCTCGCATGCCAAGAGAGTTGGACTTGACTTGAGAAACTATAGAAATCACCGAGCGATTTTAAGCAGCAACATGACAAGAAGGAAGAAGGCAAGGCTAGAGAGAGGAGACCTGCAGAGGAACACTGCGGTAATTTGGGCAACAGTGATCGCTGGTGCCCGCATTAAGTGTCAGTGAAACGGACAGCAGATGGGTTCGAGAGCCACTGAGAGTTGGAATCCACATGGCTCGGTGACTGATAATGAAAAGTGAAAAGTGAGTGAGAAGGACACATCCAGGATGTTGAGACAGGAAACCCAAGAGGAGTGTTGAGGCTCTGATTACTCCACTGTTTTGTGGGGGAGCACTTACTACTCTGAAATCTGCTAGGTCATTTATTTGCTCACAGCTTACTTTCTACCTCCATATCTAGAACATCAGCTTGCTGAGAGCCTACATCCAGTATCTCATATCAATGTTGGGTCCCAGTGCCTAGAATAGTGTTTACGTTCAACAACTCTTTGTTAGTGAATAACTAAGTGAACAAATGAATGAATGGATGGAAGAGTTGTCAGCACCGAGAGAGGGGCTATTAGGCTTTGAGAGAAAAGAGACCATGTTATCTCAGAGTCAGAAGACAGAGGGGAGGGTGTCTTATCTGTAATAGGAAGCAGTTTATCAAGGTGGTCAAGTGAGTAATCCTTTTTGGCCGTGAAACTGCCTTGAGATGAACCATCCTCTGAGAGAGAAAAACTGGGGCTAAGCATGGGGTGAGGGAAGGGGGAAAAGGGTAAGGATGAGCCAACAGAGCACGAACAGAGGCTCCCCAAAACACTGATAGGTAAGACTGGGTGCTAATGTGGCCTGAGCTAGAATGTGCCTCAACTTTTGTGCCAGGGATCAGGCGGGACTCCAACCCTCAACAGTTGTACTAAATTGGATCCCTGAGCTGCTGCTGGTCTCTGAACACCTTGAGCCCCTCAGGCTTTGAAGCTGCCCCTTGCCACTGCACCGTAAGCTCAGCAGGGGTCCTGAGTTTGGACTTGCTGCTTATTCAACTCTCCTCCTCTGCCTCATCCCTCAGATACTGGAGGCTAAAATGTTCCCTCTCCCAGCTCCATGGTGAGTGAAAACTTCTCTTTCAGCTTTCCAGAGATTGCTCCTTCCATGCCTGTTGCCTCTGGGTTCTCATTTGGTGACTCAGTTTATGATTAATAGCCACGTCCCCCCCCCCACTATTGAATGGGCCCTGTTTGCATACACGGTGGGGACGGAGGAGAGAGTTGAACACACTGTGTCCCAAACTAGCTCTCTTACTGCTTCTTTACTCTGGTCTTGCCTCCTACAATCCGACTGCTGTCATGAAGGCCTTCCTACCACACAAAAATGGATCTCATTACTCCTCTGAGTAGAATTTTTTTCTTATCATTCACCATCCATTATCAGCAACAATAAAAAAATCCATTCAAGTCTGTACTAGTCTTATATAGAGAAGGCCCCTCACAAAGTGGCCCAAGCTTATGTCCAGCTTCTTAGGCTCCTGTAATTTATCCAACACAGTTGCAATTGAAAATACAAATATTGTTTTCTACCTACCCTTATGACTCAAAAATGCTGTGGATTCTCCGGGAAGACTTGGTGGTGGGGGGAGGGGCAGAGGCACGAGACTGCAGGCAGTTTGGCCCGTAGAACTCCTACAGCACCTCGCTCAGTCCTCCAAGGGAGCACTAGCACTTTTAACAATACCTGTCTATGTGTAGTTGACTGCCCAACCGGACCCCCAGCCCATCACACCCCTACTTCTATATTCCCAGGGTCTGGAACTCCCATGGAGGAGGCTATAAAAACCGTCTACAGAAGAGCCCAGTTTAGGGAGAGATAAACCTGTAAACAATCACAACTGTGTGATTAGTGTTCCTTGGCCTGTGATTTTCAGAGGTTCTCTGCCCAAACATAGACTTTGGAATGCCAATGTATTCCCCCACCTTACACTGTTTTGTGCTTTACATACTATGCTCACCCCCTCACTGTTTTTGTTTTTGTTTTTTGGGTGGTTTTTTTTTTTGCCATTTCTGTTAGTAACTATGCCTATCTTGGTTTTCTAGTGCTGTGTAACAAATTGCCACTGACTTAACAGCTTAAAGCAATATCCATTTATTCCCTCAGAGTTTCTGGGGTCAGGAGTCCAGACACAGCTCAGTTAGACCCTTTGTTCAAGGTCACAGGAGGGCACAGTCAAGGCTCTGGCTAGGCTACAGTCTCACGGGGCCGTCAGGGCTTTCTTCCAGGCTCACGGAGGTTGTTGGCAGAATCACCATAACTTTCTCTTGGTTGTAGGACTGGGGCCCTCAGCTTCTGAAGGCTGCCCTCTCCGTGGGCAGCTCATGAAAAGGGCAGCCCACAAGATGGCTAGTTGCTTCTTCAAGGCCAGGAGGAGAGGGCCTGTCTTCAGGAAGTACCCAGTCCCTCTTTTAAGTGTTTTTATCTAATGTAGGGCAATCCCACCCATAATAATCTTCATTTTGATTAACTCAAAATCAACTGATTTGGTACCTTAATTATATCTGCAAAATCTCTTCAGCTTATTCTTATATTATAATCCTATCATATTGCCAGGTCCTGCCCTCACTGAAGGGGAGGAGATTATATAGGACAAGGATGTCAAACTCATTTTCACTGGGGGCCACATCAGCCTCGAGGTTGCCTTCAAAGGGCTGAAATAATTCTAGGACTGTATAAATGTAACTACTCCTTAACTGTTGAGGAGTTGAAATTACATTCGGCCCTTTGAAGGCAACCTTGAGGCTGATATGGCTTCTGGTGAAAATGAATTTGACACCCATGATGTAGGGCCTGACCACTAGATGGTGGGAATCTTGGGAACTGTCTTACTAGAATTTTGCCTACCATCCTGGCTGGTGTGGCTCAGTGGACTGAGCACTGGCCTGTGAACCGGTCCCATTGCCGGTCAGGGTGCAGGCCTGAGTTGCAGGCATTGTGGGTGTGTGGGAGACAACCGATCCCTGTATCTCTAGCATATCTAGCACATTTCTTTCCCTCTCTAAGAAAGAAAGAAATAAAATCGGACCCACCTTCTTCCTACAAGCCTTTGATCTTTCTATCTTCTAATCTTGGACTGCAGGGACTGAGCCAGCCATGGAATTTACACCAAAGTTCCTGAGACTCAAGTCTAAAGACACCATGGGATTATGGGCTGGGAAAGAATCACCAGAGGTCATATCACGGTTTTGTTCATAGATACACTTTTGGCTTTTTCCAGAAAATCCTAACATCAGCCTAAATGGTTCTTCTTTACCATATTTTTAGGACCATAAAATGCGCCTTTTAGAGAAGAAAAATAGGGGGGAATTTTTCAAGCAAAAAATGTAAAATATCTAATAACATAAATAAATAGGCTGCCACCCCCCACCATGCCCCACGAGCCAGGTATGCTACATTTGGACTATAAGACACACCCCGCCTTTTCTTCCCAAATTTGGAGGAAATGTTTCTTGGGCAACTATGAAGGACCAGATACTGGGGATAATTGCTCTGTAATAAGATCAAGTTGCTCTGTAATGAAGCCATTCCCTATAGAGCAGTTCCCAAGTCTTCAACCTTTGTTGAGAAAAGATCCCCAAAGATGTTCTCATGACTGCTACAGTCCCAAGGATGTTTAGGGGTTAGGTAAAATTCTTAGAATCTTAACAAATGCTCTATTTCTCCCCCACTTGCCTCCTCCTCTCCTTCTGCCACAATTCTTGTACATGTGTATGTGATGTACACACACGTCCACACAAACACACACACACACACTTTAGAATGCAGTGAGTGAAAGTTACTTGAATACAATCTAACTTACATTTGAAAATCATTCCAAGTCTTTAATTCTCTAACTCTTATTAATACAAAGAGATTTTGCATTGCACTTGGCAGTTTATGGCAAAGCACATTGCCTCAGATACCCAACCAAGTCTTCAGCCAATTCCACTTGGCTGCATTCTTGTGCGGATTAGAGTATTAACCTCTTGT